GCGCCATGTCATTGTAACTTCTATAAGTTAGGCATGACTGAAAGATCAATAAAATAATAAATATATATATAGGTGTATAATGTTATGAGATTTAAGCTGTTCAGACTAAACATTTATGTTTTCATGTTATGATTTGTAGTCATTCTAGAGCGAAGAAAGTGTAATTGATATCTATTTCTTACTTTTTTATGGTGGTTACGAGGTCAGTCAAATTGACCAAACCTGTACATAGATACAGAAGTGAAAATAAAAGATAAAATAAAGTTTTTCTTAAAAAAACCTTTGATAAAGTGAAATTTGATATTTTTCTGATACATAAACGTATTTTTAATCATAAAATCAAAGTTACTTTGCATGTTGGGTAGTCAACATTCCAAAAACAAAATGCACAAGAAAAACATTACTTAAAAAATCTTAAAACTTAGTAAAAAATTTATAAATTTATTTATCAAAGCCATATAATGTTTACTGATAAGCTGCAAAATTTTTTTGAAGATACGTTTACTGTATTAAAAGTTATAGTATGAAAACGACAACAAGCACAGAATGTTTACGAGGTCAGTCACTAGGACTGAGCCCATAGTGAAAGAGCTAACTCTGCAATAAGCTATTTAACTTCATTATACTGGATTGTTCAGAATACACAAGCCAGAAGAGAGGATCTTATGAAAGTGATCGGAATGACAGTGTTTTCTCTCATGTTGTGCAAATACATATGGCTTAAAAATTTTTTTGTAATTAAGTACTTTTCAGCGTATATTAAGGAAGTAAGAACTAAAGAATTTCCAGATCCAAAGACAAAAATCATTTCATATACTGAAAGATACAAACTTTAGCCCATTGTTTGTTGAAAACAGACTTCCCCACCCCCCTCTCTCTCTATATATATATATATATATATATATATCAAATCAGATAACAAACTGATCATCCTATAATTTCCTTCATGACTTAAGATTTATATATAAAGGACTTTAAAGAGACTAATAGACAAATTTGTTAAATCAAGTGTTACAAAGAAGTCATATCATCACTAGAAGTACTGAATACACAGGCCTGCGAATTTTAAATTCATAAAAGTTATTTTGGTTTTAATATTGAATTTTCCATAATTCAGCTCAGCAGATTTTGAAAATAATATTCATTTTTTTCTGTCACATAAGGAATTTTTTACAAATCTGGAAGAAAAAAACTTAGATCAAATTATTATTTCATTTACCACAATGAACTTTTTTTATTATTGTTCGGTAAAAAAAATATGAACAAACTGAAAAATAGGGAAGAACATTTATGCCAAACAAATATGCAAATATCTTGATTTTTGTGTGTATGAAATCTACGTCTTTTAGTCTCAAACTACGTGTTGTGGTCTTTTATGTATTGCGTTTGGAGCATCTTGTTTCAATGACCAGCATGCTGATGTTCCACCTTCCCTGATGTCTTGATGAAACCATTCCCCTTGTTCTTTGCTGACGTCACTGAGAATTTCAGAGAGATAGTCAATATCTGACTAAGAAATGAACTGTCAAGCTCATATTACAACCCAGCTCCTTGAATTTATCGAGCATGTTATTGACAATATTTTCTTAATTTAGGTCCTTGTTGTTTCCTCAAAATTTGTCAATAACATCTTTAAAGGCAATCCAATGCTTCTTTTTCAACTTTCTTCACTGTCCTTTCGAACTGTTCATCCGAAGTCAGTTTCCTAATCTGAGGCCCATCCAAATTCCTTTCTGAAATAGCTGGAAATTTGAAAAAGTTGTCTAAGGCCTTTACACACCACTTAATTAAGCCCAGTTTTATGTGAAGTGGACATAATAGGACCTTCTTTGTGTCAACCAAACTTTCACGTTCAATGTTTTTTGATCATGGTATCAGGCTGACTCTGCATGGCCATTGCATCTTTATCCATTGCTGATTTCGTGCTCTGCTGTCCCATTCACACAGAAAACATGGAAACTTTGTATAACCGGATTGATGACCCAACAACATACAAAGGACTTTAAAGTCTCCACAGAGTAGCCAACCATGTTCTTTGGATTTGACCTTATTAAGAAGAAGTTTGAAATCTTCGTACATTTCCTTCAAGTGAACAAAATTAGCAATAGGAACAGATACAAATATGTTACCATCGTGAAGGAGAACACTTCTTTTCGAGGAATCAATGAACAATTGCCACTCGCTTGGTTCATAGACTGCAGCTTCTAGCATTGGTATTAATTCAGCAGTATTGTTGCAATAAACCAGTGAACCTTCTTGCAAAAAGTATGATATAAACTCTTTCTAATAATTTCTGTACCAGTCATTTGATGTCCCTGGAGAAAGTAAGTTCTTAGCTCGAAGTCTGGACCCCAAAATCTCAGAAGAATCCTTTGTAAGGCCCAGATATCTCACCAAATCATTAAATTCACCTTGTGTGAAGAGTTGTGGTACACCAGATGTTTCAGGTTGAAAATAATCCCTATCATTATTTCTATTCACATCAGAATCAGATAAAACTGTATCGAGAGTTTCAGGTGGAGTAGGTACAGGTACATCAGGTCTATGAGCAACAGGTCTTATAGCAGATTGAAGGTTTGGATAAGAAGTTTCCTTTTTATTTTGAGTGTTGTAGCTTTGAAGGTTACACGAGCAAAAACAGCAGTCATCTCTGTGATTTGTAGGCTTATGCCTGACCATTGTCTCAACTCTGACACAAATGGTGCAAACTTTGTGTGGAGCCCATGATTTGTCTTGGTCCCAAAGTTTTATTCCAAAATACACATAATAAATTTTTTTGACAAATTCTGTAATGTTTTGTCTTTGTTTCTTTATCAAATTTACCACAAATATAACAGAATTTGTTTGGGTCATTTACACAACCTCTTGTTACCATAGCAATGAATAAATATTATTGAAAAGAAAAAAGTCATAGTGCACACACAAACAAATACTATCCAGAAATGACATGTCATGTGGCCTGTTACCTGTTTATATACTAGCAATGTGTTTCTCATGGGTTCTAGAGTGATCAATAAGACTCTTGCATTGTGATTGGTCTAGAGAAATCTATACCCATGGTTATCAACATTTTAAACATAACAAAATGTGACCCAATTACAATGAAAATGATTCACTCATGTAAAAGTATATATGATGTTTTTTGAAAAATCTGTACATGATGGAGAAAAATGGATATTTTCAGTGTACACGAATAACCATAGAATGAAAAAATTTCAAGACAATAAAACCATCACATCCTGTGATATTAATGCTTCTCTGAAAGAAAAATAAAACACATCCACACTAGATTTTCTAGTGTGAGAGAAATTAATCACTTGCTCTCTATGGTGAAAATTAGCAAGCTGACTGGTTGAAAATTTCATTCAAACTGTCAAAGGTCTATAATTAAAATAGAGAAAAAACTCCAGGTGAGATATGTTGAAGTATATATTTGTTAAAAACATGAAGGATTCAACCCAAGCAAAGTTTGGACAGTGTTAAAGAAAACTCTATTGAGTGTGATTTTTTCAGTTAATGAAAATACTTCCATGAAAATTTGATACAAGAATCCTTTGTGGCTCAGGGGATTTTGATTAATTGCATAGTCAGCAGTTGGCATTGTCAGTGTTAAATGTATAAAACACTTATATTGTCAACTGATGGAGCTAGACAAAAATAAATGGTGTACCTAGATCAAAAAAGCAAATGAGGATTTATTGAAATTGTAGAAGAGGTGGGAGAGTTGAACTAGAAGAACTGCATTAAAAGAAAAAGATTGAAATCAGTTATAGACAGTTAATTAGAAAATACAGATCGGTTTGTTGAGGAAGTAGAATAAATAGGACATGTAACTTTGATAGCAAGATAAACAGTTTTCAAAGATCTTTAAAGGTTGCAAAAGTTGAACATTAAGTCTCGATAAATATGTTGTTGATCTCAAAATTAATAAACATTTTAGTGGCTTTTTAAGTTGTTTATCAGAACAGTTTTAATATTCAAAGATACATTCTAGTTAAATAACGTGACTATAATATCTTGTTTTAAAAAGTGAAATTACTTTTTAAAATTAATGTTTCAATATTCTTATTGCATAAAATATTCCATGTTTTTCATTTATAATTGTTATTGTGTTCAATTCCATCTTTTTTGGAGCAAAGCTGTATAACACAGGTGTATGAACAAGCAGCCTTGGAGGAAAGAAATGTTTCTCAACTTGAATGTGTTTGTGTACATGTTGTAGAAAGTGTTTCTCCAGTATAACCCTATAATATGCTTGATTTTTTTCTGTAAATTTGCTCACAGTCCTGGATTTGTACATGTTCTTAGCAAATACTTTCATGACTTGAGTTAGACAGTCATAGATTGTAAGGTGAGTATATTTCTCTTTAGGTAATGCCTGTGTAGACCTCATGTTATGTACATGATCTGAGACCAAAGCATGGACCTCTTCTGGTCTATTGTTCACACCATCACTGAAGATTATAGGAACATGCCTTATAACACAACTAATGCAGTCTTACAAACATATAGGTTATATGAATGTTTAAATCAACAAGACTAAAGTGTTTAAAAAAAATTAAGACACAGATTAGTTTATTTTATAGAATTCAGAGGTATTAAGAATCTGTAAAGGTTCAGTAGCATATCTGATCATGATTGGGAACACCAGTGTTTGATATAATAATTTTTAACAGTGGACTTTCATTACGTAGAACATGCAGTTTCACAACCAATTATGGTTCAGAGACGCAGTGGATCTTTTCCTGGAAATGATGCTAATACCATGCTTTCCCCACGCTCCTCTGAAACTAGTGGACTGGGTGTAAAAATGGCAGAATATGTACTGGGTAGCTCACCAACCACAAAAGATCTTGATTCACAAATGGCTCGACTTCATGTTGGATTAGTAAGTCAACATTGTTCTTAACCCACATTATTTTTGATTTTTCTAAATTGTACTGTGGAAATAGAATCATATGTAAAAATTATTAGTAATTTTAAGAAAAATAAAAATTTGTGCAATCAATCTATATACATAATAGCCAAATGTTTGTCTGTCAAGCTCTTTTATCTCCTGAATGGTTACTCAAAGAAAAATATATGTATATCAAAATGTTTCTTTTCAAGAGTACATCATAGGAAGATTATTCATTTTCTGCAATTCCTAAAATTTCATGTCAATATTAACATTGACCTGTCAGTCTTTGTATGTGTTGAACAGTCAATCTGAGAAAAAACTTGAGGACAAAAATGATTATTTCTATTAGGGAATTTCATGAAAAAGTGGGACTTCCTCCATCAACTGATTGAAAAAAATGTTTTGAAGACAGGAGCATTAATGGAAAAATTGCATAAAGAGAGAAATGTGTTTGAGTACATATTTGTTATTATTTGGCTTATGTGTGTATATATAACTGTTTCATGTTGGTATTAAATATGTGCAGGATTTTATTACACCATGTCAAATGAATTGATTTGAATGTAATATCTCCCCTTTGACACTTCTTATTGAAATGAAAACTGTTAAAAAGCACTCACTTCCATAGCAGTCTTTTCTTGCATTCAGTAAAATGCCAAAAAATGGTGGTATTCAGCAGCAAAATCCATGGCTACCTAGCAAACCTGAGTGTTTTATTTTGCTGGGTGTACGCATTACATCAAAACCCAAATACTTTTGCCAACAATACATTGCAGTCAGCTTTCTTTGCTTAAAAACAAATGCATTTCAACTTTTATTGAAATAATGCATGGAATGCTACAATATGGTTGTAAATGACCCACCAGACAATCATTTTGTATATACACTATAATCCAAGGGATTGGGTTGACTGCATATTTTTTATTTATTCATCACTATTTGTAGGAAGTTTACTGTTGAGTTCTTTCAACTGGCATCTGTTAGTTAAATATAATACTTGTTTGATTTTGGAGATGAATGAGTATATTATATTTTTTCCTACATAGGTGATACTAAATTGATAACTTGTATATTTTATTATATACATTTGAAACTGTATCAGGAAGTTGAACTTTGAAAGCACTGTAACTATTAAATATAAAAAAAAAAATCTTAAGAGTAACAATTACAAAAAACGTTTTTTGTTATTGTTACTCTTAATATACCACAATGTGCCTTACAAATCTGTTGAAGAAATTTATAAGGCTTAGTTTTGTATAGTTGCATAGTTCTCTCAAAAATAAAAATCCCCCCTCCTCCCATCTGTAAAATTCACTAGACTGATAATGTTTGTCTGAATTTCATTTATTATAGAATTCAGCAGATGGTAATGAGAAAGGAAAGAAACCAAAGCCATATGACAGTGATGCTAAAAGAAAAGAAAGTGATGGTGGAGGAATTTTACATGCTAATGGTATAATTCAAAATGGGCTGGAAGATGACCAGGGTTTTAGGTGAGAAAGATAAAAAAAAAATACCTAACAGATGTGTTGAACCTTACATTTTGTAAGAATTTATTGTCTAAAAAAAATTAAACAATTTGGAAAAAAAATTTTACTTACACCTTTGTTACAATCATGAGACAGATTGGTTTTATCATATAATTTTCATTACAACACAGTACTTTTGCTGCATTTTTTAAAAGACAATATTAATAGTTTTAGATATTGTAGTTTTAATGTAACTTGAAAATATTTTTATCAAATTATGTAAACTCATGACAATATCTATTAGAGGGACTAAATACTGGATATTAAGTTTACTCAGTTTTTGAATAAAATCATGGTTTGTTCCTCATATTCAGTACATTTACTCTTGTTGGTCATACCTGAAATGTGATAATAGTTTTTGTTTTGTCTGCTTCATCTGAATAGTTAATGCTCTGGCAATCTTGGAGAAAAATGTCTTAATCTTGGTGTAATGACAATTACAGTAAATTCAAGTAGAACTTCATATACACCACTAGCTATTTTTGTGAAAGTTTATGTTAGTTTTTAGTTGATGTATTACTTAGTATTAACTGGTCAGCACTGTTCTGAAAGGCTGTAAATAACAAATACTGTATTGTTATTGTGAAACATTTATGGTCAAATTAGCATATTTATTGCAACAATACTTCTTAAAATACAAGATTTCTAGAATAATACATAAATATTCTAATTCCAGACACCAAAATCTACAAATCCATAGGTAAATTAACACTGTAACTTGTATTTTTTGCTTGAGTTTGGTTAAGATTATATTTTACTGTACTTAATACTATCAGAAATAAGCTTGTAGTGTTATTCCGTGACCTAATTTTTTTTTAAACTTTAAGCCTTTAATATGTTCACTAAAGTATATTTACATCTGCCTTTTGTTTACATTCATTGAAATGAAATGCATGTGCATTTTCAGTAGAGACAAAAATTAGATATTATTATAATAGATGTTTTGGTCAAGATAAATGCTAACTAGATATAAAGTTTCTGCTTCTCTGTTGAGAAAAAACAAGTTGAAAATTTAATATTTTACACAGTATACTTGACTATATAGAACATTTTATTATATTACTGATTCTGTTGTATTAAAAGGTGGGAGTTTTTGAAAAGTAATTGATAAATTAAAATACTAAATCTTCAGCACATTTTTTGATTTAAAGACCAAATTAGTCAGAAAATTGTAGTTGCATAATATTATCCTAGGTACAGATGTTTTAAATATTTCCTCATAAGTTAAAATAAATATTTGAAATTTGTGTAAATCAAATTATTTAAATGCTCTTGTAACTCCTAACTAAAGACTGATTAAACCACTACCTATTGAGGAATACCGACATCATAACATTGCAGAAAGTAAACAAAACATCTGAATGTGGTGTACATATATGTTAACAATGATATTAATGCAGTTAATGACAGTTTGATGGTGAAGATAGTAAAAGTCAATCATCAAATATTCAGTAAAGTAATGTGAATAAAACATAGATTCAGCCATATATGTTTTATTCAGTTGTGGTGAAAAATGGTGAAGTAGAGGTTGAAATTGAAGAAAATACCATCACTGACAATTTACAAACCTAATGTTTGTTCTCCCACACTCTGCATTTTTCATGTTGAATGAAGTAACTGGCATCAAGTTTATAAGAATAAATATAGATATCACAACTAAAATTAAGTTCTTATTTGAATTAAAATAATTGATATAAATGGAATACAAAGTGATTATTTAATAACTGGGTAACAAACCTCAAAGTACAAATTGATAGTATCAATAATGCAGTTTTGATATATAAAAAAAGAAATACTCTATCTGCAATTTTTGCATTTCTGGGTGACAAATCAATCCGAAATGACAATGCTCCTTTCAATATATGTACCACTAGTCCTAATAGCTGTTTTGCATGTGCTTTCAGGAACCATGCAGCCCTTAACAACAGTTTTTTTTAGCAAAACCTAGTATTATGTATAATTTCTGAAGTAATCTTTTTTGAAATGAAAGCTGCATATGAAGCTATTATTTCGTGGCAGCCGTACCCATTTTCGTGTCCTTTTAACACAGTTTATCCATGATTTGACATCTTGTTATTTAGGAAAGTCAAAGATTAACCTTGGGCCTGGTATAGATTTGTACCCATAACCATCATTTTGAAAGAACTAATAAAAACTACTGTAGAAACAGTTCAAGAAAAGTAAATACAAAATTCTTTCAGTGGTAACATGTACAGTTAGTTTAACACACATAGGAAAATGTACATAGTTGTTGGTTAAAGCTGGTTGATTAATTGATTAATGTCAAGAAAATTATCAACTAATCAAGATTGGGGTTGACTATTAACTCTTTTTGATTATTCCTATTATCCAGGTAATTAAAGTATTGCCATTATGTTTGTTATTAAGCACAAAGCTACATAATGAGCAGGTGAAAAATTAGAAACTGTAGGTTAGATTAGGTAAGATAAAGAATAATAATAATTCTTCATGAGATATGGAGATTTACAACTTGTGTGGTGGGATTATTGGTTAGACACACTTCGAAAGGCAATAAAACAATAAAATTAAGGATAAATATATGTATACTATTACAAGCTTTAAGCTACTTAGGATAAACAATTATGGTTTCCTGTTACAATTTGCAGTCATTCCAGAAAGAAAAGGGTAAGTAAGAATTATTTCCTAAATTTTTTATGGTGTTTTCGAAGTGAGTCAAATCAATTGACCCTGTATATAGTTATAGTATAGAAAATAAAAGATAAAATATAAAGTTTTTCTGGGGAAAAAAAACATTTGATATTTATTTAGAAGAATTTAGGGATTACCCAAATGAAATTTGAAATTTTTCAGATGAAGAAAAGTATTTTTAATCTTAACATGAAAATCACTTTGCACTTGGAGCAGTCAACACTCGGACTCCATAAAATTACAGACAAAGTTTTAGTATATATACTTGATTAAGAATTCAGATTTTTTTTTTTTGTCTGCAAAAAACTTAATGTTTACTGAAAGCTTGCCAAATTTTGTGAAGATACATTACATACTTTCAGAATCGTAGTATGTATACACACTTGGTTTTGTTATGGTTACAAAATCATGTAAAATACACAAGCCCATTGTGATAGGATTAATTGTATGTAATTAATTAACGAGCCTGTTCATTAGTAAATACCACTAATTACCCAACTTTAGTATTGGGGGATTGTCTTATAACATCTTTATATTGGCTTTGTGTCAACAACTAATCATGAAAAACTTATGAGATCCTGTGAACTACATTTGGTTGATAAATGCAATTTATGGACAAGAGCAATTTTCACCATATGTGGTCTCTAGAGGTTTTTAAATGATGAGATTCTATTTAACTCTTCTTTCTTTCATTTTTTGTAGGACTTCTTTTAAACACTAATACTTAAATCATGTATTACACAACACTGAATGCTTGTTTTATTATTGATATTTTGAATATGGCATCATATGGCAGTTTATACTTATCATTTACTGTTATATTTGAAGCAACTAAATACTTTTATAAATATACTGTTATAAATACTTTTATATTTATATGTAGTCGGACGCCTGGTAGTAGACAGCCTTCTCCTTGTGAGGAAGACATGAACAAAAATCCAACAATAAATGACATATCTAAACTTCAGAACTCTGCAGGGGAACATTTAGTCATGCATCCTGGTGCTGGAGGACTCCCCCAGGTCCCTGGTTCACTTGGATTAGATGGAGGGTTTGAACCTGTAGGAATTGATAGCTTGTCATTTGATTATCCTCCACATTTGATGCAGTCAGTGGATTCACCAAGTGTTTTAGATTACATTAATCAGGTACTGTACAAATGTTTGTACCATAATTTTGCTGATCACTTATCAAACTAATGTAAATACTTGAAAGTGTTGTTGATAATTTTAAACTGTCTTGCATTCTAGCAGTTTTAGTGATGAAAACCCCAATCATATGTTAGGTTATGGGCTAAAAATAATTTAAATAATTTATGACTGAAAGGAGCCATATTCATTTTATGTTACATATTCTTTTTATCAAAAAATTATCTTCATTATAAAATTTTAGCACATATAAAGTAAATCTGTTAAATCTTTAGTTTTTTGTTGTTTTTTTTTGACAGCTAAATTCATTTGTATGTTTCAGAGAAGTGAACTTTCTACACAACAGCTTTTGTCACATCTCTATCAACAAAGAAACCAAGTTGCTCCACAAGGACAGCCATTACCAATGATGCCTCAGCAACAATATCCACTGCCTTCTCAGCAACAAGGACAGAATATGGGAGCAGTACAACCTGGAGCCCCAACAGGCACTCCTACACAGTTTGCATCAAACCCCTACATAATGAACCAAGACCCCTATGCCATGAGCACTTTTATGGCAGGTAGGATTTCAGAAAGTCTTTGAAAAAAATTTTGTTTTTTAATTTTTAAGATTTTATGTATTAAAATGAATTTAACCATATGGTTTTGGGTACCGTTTTCTCCACGTGATGAGAATTTATTGAGTTGCATTCAAAAATTTTAAACAACTTTACTATCCAATTGACATGTGAAGGGCTTGATTTAAATGTTCCAGTTGCTGACTATAGATCTCTGCATTGACAGGTGGCTGTGGATTGAGGAGTTTGAAATGAATTACTCCTTTGATGTCCCACCAAATGCAAAGCATCACTTTCTGCAGATGGAGTCCAGGTTTTGGGGACTGAGCCATTGTTTTTGGTATTTGATATTCGCATAAGAGAATCCATTTTTCATCACTGGTGACAATTATGTCCAAAAATGGTTCACGTGCCAGAAGAGACAAAGCAATGTTCACATGTTGGAAATGATCATCAGAGACTTCATGAGCCACCCAGACACCTTCTTTATGGAGTTTTCCCATATTCTTTAGATGTTTAGGTATTGTTTCATGAGAGACATACAATTTCAGGGTCTTTTCATGAGTGTGCTGTCTTGGGTTAGACTCAAAAAGTGTCTTCAGAGCATCAATATCAATTCCAACATGTCAGTCCCTGCCATCACAGTGTTTAAGGCTAAAGTCGCCTGAATGAAATTTGCTGAACCATCGTTGACACTTACGAACGTTCAAAACATTTCCATAAACTTCTTGATATTCTTTGTGGCTACATAGGCATTGTTTCTCTTCTTGTATTCAATCAGTATTACATGACAAATATGTGTCTCGTCGTGTGCCGTCACTATAAGGGATTAGAGTATACTAAACTTTACACATTATATAGGCTACACTAATGTGACATTTAGGTGGTTCATTTAACTATTATACGTGATGTACGATTTTTGGGAGGTGATTAATGAAAGTGTTCCAAAACACAACATTAATTTCTTGACGACCTAATATTTATTCTACGTGTACTTAGAACTGGCACTTTGGTCATTATGACCTTCATATTAATTAGAACATTTACACTATGCATTGTTTAGTTTTATTTAATGTGTTTATTATGAATAGCCATAAGATAAAATTTTTGAGTCTGTTTCCTTCCTACCTTTGCAGTGTAGAAAGTAGTTTTTTGTTCTTCAGATAAAAAAGAACAAAAGTGTTAATTATGTAATATAGTTTCTTAAATAATTGTTTGTATAAATCTGTCATGACATGATTTTGATATTATCTACTGTTGTGGACGTGCACTGTGTAATAGAATTTCACAGTTGTCACACATTAGGACAACATAAAGCTGATTTTTTTATATGTGCATATTTCATTTGACAGGTAAGAAATGTAGACTCTTGTGTTGATCCCTAAACTGCAGTTAATTGTTTAGTACCTTTTTCTTGAACTGCATACAGCTATAAAATGTTGTTAAGCCTATCATGTGTTTTTTTTACAAGACTATATTGATTGGAGATATGAAAATGCTTTTGTTTATATTAGAATAAGTGTATGCGAGTTTAATCAGTGTATACTCCATATAAATATTTATAATAATGAGATAAAGCTCTGAAAAATTGTTTAACATTAACTGCTGTACATATTTTTCCATGTCACACCTTGTAAATATTTTTTTGTTACTATATTACCTGCAGTTCACTCAGCCATCACAGCTTATCAAATTACAAAAGTTTTTAGATAGTAGGCAATACACTTAGACTAATCTATATTGATTATGTAGTGAGGCATCTTTTGTGTAATAGCTATTGTATGAGTAGTCAGAAAGTAGGTACATCTGTTACTGAAGCAAATTTTGTAGCTGTTACCAAATGCTGTTTAGCTACTGATTGTTAAACTTCTCAGGGTAGAATTAATGATGCACTTAGTAATCTTTAGATTACCTGACAAAGAATACACATGTAGATATATTATTTGTGTGTTTTTTGGTTTATCTGCAATTAGCTTCATATTTTCTTCTTAGTCATCTGATCTTTTGATTGATCATGATTTTGTTGTATGACTGAGAGTCAGATTAATTTTATGAAGGCTACTTAAAACATTTTTGAGTGAATATTTTTTTTGCTATAGTTGAATTGACATCTAGGTATGATGTTTATGGTATTTAGATAAAGGTATTATAATAAATAAACCATTTATGGATTAACGTTTAAGACTAGTTTCTTAATAATATATCATGTGATTCTTTAATTTTATAGGCCCAGCTATGATGCCGCAGTATTATGGAATGCCTCCGTGGGGAATGTTTCCCACACCAGGTCTCATTCAAGGAAGTCAGGGGCAACCCCAGGGGCCAACTGTACAGCAACACATATTACGTAGCAATGGCACTCGTCCCATAACACCCCAAGGAAATGGAGAGTCTCTCCCCCAGGGTGCAAACAATATTCAAGGTAGTATTAATAAATATTAAATAATTTGCTTAAGGTTTTGTGTGTGTGTGTGATTTACTGTTACATTATAATTCATTTTCAATCTGCTCTTAATAAGCATTATTTAATGATTACTAAGTAATTTTTGTAAACAGATATATAATCCTCAATTATAAATGTTTGGCAAGATGTCTATAGTTACAGATAACTGCCAATAGAACTGTTCTGTTAGTTACAATTTATGCATGAAAATGTACACTATTAATTAGGTTAATTTGTTGTTTATATGATATGCCATTAACATACTTAAGATTTCAAAGAATTACACTTGAGTTGCTTTAATGAAACTGCAGTATTTGTGGAATTGACTGAACATTCTAAAATTCACACATTTTCTGTTGCTATTTTTTTCAGTTGAGAGTAGTGTTAAGACAAATGTGAGGTTTTGAAGAAAGTCTAAAGCATACAGTTCTCCTTTGAAATTAATTTTTTTATATATACAAGTTCAATTATACATTTACATACCTTGAAAGATTACATTTTTGAAATGTGTACTTTAGGGTGTCTTTAAATGATGTAAATTAATATTTTAAGATCACTGTTTACTTGTAATTTTTTGCAACTAATTATATAATGCCTAAAACTGAAGTGTAGAGATTAAACATTTTTGTAAGGTTTTTTCCTTACATAAGAGTTACATTACCAGTGTGTAGTGTTGTGTTGTGTTCAGAATGCCTATTGGTCTACAGCTGTTGCATTAATTTTTAATAAAAATTACATTTCCAGTGTTTAGTGGTGTTCAGGTTGATGCATTAACTTTTAGGAATATGTTTTAATTGTAAAGAAGTGACAGACACTTTGGAAGTAGAATAATGTGCAATAATATAAATTAATTCTAAGAAATTAAATTGTTTACTGTGAGATAGGGAGATGTCTAGTAACATTATCTGTATATTATATTTAAAATATATTTCCAAAAACACTTTGTTTTGAAAAATGTTTGTTTTTTGTTATATAGTGGTTTCAAGCATTGTATTTCAAATGTGTGTCATACAGATTTTACCAAATAACCACTGATTATTAGGGTTAAGACTCAAGCAAAGCTAATGGCAGTGATTCAGGTAGGTTAGAGATATTGAAATGCCTTTTATTCATTTATTTCTTTTTCCATCCTTCCAATCCATCACCTTCTGTCTCTGTTTCCTACTTTTTTCATACATTTCTCATTTTTATTCTTTCTATGATTTTGTTTTAACCACTTAAAAGGGAATAATTTGATAATTTGTATAAACTTCCTCAGAAACAAGTATATCTTTATCAAAAAGAAAGTAAGATGTCCCAAAGTCTGACATGTTAGCAGTGAAAAATTTATGTAGCTTGGTTTAATTTTGACTGGCAATGTTGGTGTAGAATTGTACAGCAGGGAAAAGGTTAAATAATTTTAGAAAGTTGATTTGGTGATGAAAAGGATTAAGACATTATATTATGTAAATATGTTTATTTCAAACTTAAGAATGAATATCTCAAATCCAATTGCTGAAACAAATATATCTGATCCGCATGGATAAAAAGTTCATTTGATTTTACCTTTATAGAGAATGTTTTGTTTTTTGTCCACCAACAGTTTTGGTTGAGTTATTTATAGTTAACATTTGGAAAGTAAACAATTCTTACAATGTTAACTTGTTCAATATTAGATAATATATTTTCCCAACTTGGTAGTTTGACCCTAAAACGTTATATATAAATGTCTTACATCTAACTTTTCAGAGTTCATTGTTGAGTCTCCTTGTGGCTTTAATTTGTAAAAATCAAACATTTTGACGTAAAATGATCCAGAGGAAAAGAAAATATCCAAAGACAAGAAATTACTCTTTTACTGTTTATAAAATACATGAAATGCTTTTGATATTTGATATTTTTGTAACTTTCAAACACATCAGGCATGAAATTTTTTGCTGTATTTATTTAAAAACAATAAAATATTTGAATATGTTTTGAAATTCAAACCATAATGTTATATCAGCAAAACGTTTCTTGTATAAACATTCTTTCTGTCACTTTTCTTTATGCCTGACATGATAAACTTTTTGAAAAGTCATTGTTAAATCCTTTTCCTGGCTGTTTTATCTAGGGCACCAATAGTAAACTGTAATAACTGTTGGTCTTTCTCTTGAAATCTCTGACACTGAGTTCTAATCACCCCTTTTCAACAGCCATTAACCGTGATGGCTGTTGCAGTAATGCCATTCACATCTGTGTGGTGACATTAAAGTCTGGTAATGAGAAGAGGGGTGTAAGTTCTGAAATGAAATGAAAAGCACTGTAAAGAATACATCACTGCTTTTCACTCAGTAGTCAATGTAGCAACCAGATAGGGTAAATAGTATTCTTGTCGTAGAAAAAATTCTTGGAACCATACATTGCTATAGTTATATTTTTTTTATTGATATCAATACTTTTATAATTTTAATTTCTTTTGCACACAATTTTCATTGCATCACTAGTTTGCAGTAGCAGTGCTTATCCCATGAGTGGAAATTGGTTATTGTTTTGGTACATAGTTTCAAAACCACAAAAACAGGTTGTTTATAATTTCACAATAACATGTTTTGTTTCATTACATCATGTTCATTCATCTCTTAGTGGCATTCAAAAATATTATGCAACACTTCTAGGTCTACTGTTTTCTGATATGTAATTCATTTATCTTGGTATGTGTTCGTGGAGCATACATTTTGCAGATGTTCAGTATTGAAAACTTCACTGATTTGATTTTTTCTGGAATAATAGGGAGGGGAAAATTTCTTGTACAATTGAAAGAATAATTGGTCCTGTTTTTTTGTTATTTATTTCCAAGTTCATCTTGGCTAAACAGCAAGTTATAGCTGCAGAAGTAAAGCAGTAAATGTTGGAGAAGCCCATTGATTTTTCCCCAGTCTTCTGTGAAATCACATTATCCTGCTCAAGATATGTGGTAGTTGCATGACAAAGTCATGAGCTACACAACATATGATATAACCACTAGAAAACTTAGGGGTTTACCTGGGATACATTGTATGTTTAGCCAAGGCAAATACATTTCTGTGGAGATACAGAGAAAGTAGATTAATATATGTCATAGATTCTTATAGCACAATGCATGCATATAAAAATATATCATGCTGTAGGCTGTATAGCATGATACAGCAAATTAAATAAAAGTTGATTAACGTTTGCTGTTATCGTTCCATTGGTAAATGTTTATTATTTTTTATTAAGTTCATTACTTTATTTTCTTATCCCATTAGTTCTGGATGTGTAGGGTCTTATAACTTAAGATTTAACTCTTTTTTTTTTTGCTCTCCCAACATATAATTTTTGCATTTGGCAGTTTCCATTACACCTTACCAAGAGAAATTACACACTAAGTAAAGTAAGTTATACACATTTCCTCTTAATATTCTAGGGACATTACTAGATAGTGTAGAATTAATAACTTGTGTTAAAAGGTTTAAATAACTCTACTGAATAAACACACACACACACACACTGTTAGCTTTGAAAGTTGATTTTTGATAAGTTGTTGAAAAAAAACTGTTAAAATCAAATGGTGTTTTAGTACTGGAATCCCATTTTAATGAGATAAACCTAATTTAAACCTTAAAAAACTGAAAATGTAAATAATTTCCTTAAACTAGTAACTCCATCATTATAAATACTCTTTCTTCTGTATAAAGAACAAAAATAAATAAAGCTTGTAAGCATCCTTGTACAAAATGTTTCCCTTTCTGGCTCCCAGGTGGCCAGTACCAGATGGTGGCACCCTCTTTTTATGACCAGAATGGCTCACTAATGGTTGGAAATGCCAGGGGTGTTGGGGCACCCCCCACCATGAGACTAATACCACCATTGATTGTGAACCCCCAGGCCACCACTGGCAACACTCCTGGTATGTCTGGCAAGTAATTGGTGGTGGTGGTGGTGTAGAAGTGTGGGGCTTGATGCTTTCAGTCCTAGGCTAAGTGAGCTTGTCTTGAGTTCTGAACGTGAATTACATCAAGGCTGTATAAATGAATCAGTAACTTTATTTGTAATTTCATGTAACATCAGATTATCTTAAAGTGTTTCATTAGAAAATTTCATGTTACTTCAGTTTGAGAGTCATGGCAGAAACAAAAAAATTTTCAAGACTGTAAACTCTAACTAGATCTGGGACTTGTATTTTATCCATTTTGTTGCAGTTTTTTTCTTGTTTTGATAGAAATATGTTGTATTGATCTTGTAAATATCTAACAACTTGATTTCTTTCATGACTTAACATTTCATGTTTTGGTCAAATAACAAGAATCTTGTGAAAATCTTATTGAAAAAACTGTTTTACTTTTCTAAAGAAAATGTAGATGTTAAAAGAGCATCTAATACATTCAAAGACTGATTTATATGTCTTAAGCTTTGGGTGGGGGGGGGTTAATTATTCAAAACTTTTGTGTAAAAATACATAGTTGGGCTTTTTTGAATATTTTTCGTTGTTATAAACCCAAAAATGATTAATTGCTAAATCATATGAATTGATTATAGAGTATATTAAGGAAATTTATGAAAGTGGAAGTGGATTTTTTATTACTTTGTCAGTAGTAATGTATGATATATATTCATCAAAATCATGTAAACTAGACCAAATAAAAGAAAATATCTGCTTTGAGAAAAACTAATGGTTAATATTGTATTTGTTTGATACTTTCTTTGGATTCAAGAGACAGAAGGTTGTAAGTTCCTTGGTGTGACTCTCCTACCCCATCATTATCGAAAGAAAGAAATGTATAATTGACGAAAATAACAGAACCATGGTACATTTCTGAAAATTGTATATAAGGCCCTATATGTATTTGATGCATACATTGGTTTTCTCAACTAAAATTTTAAGGTTAAACTTATCCCAGATTTGATCTGATATTCTCAGCTGAGAATTACCATGATTCTAGTACTTAGATGTACCCAATTCTGTTAATTTTACCGTGATTCGTATGCTTGGATGTACTCGGTGCTGTTAATTTTGAATTTTATACAAGCTTCATAAAATCAAAAGAGTTCATATTTGATTTTTAAAATATGTGTATTAGTAACGAGGGTCTAACTAATTATCTTTCTTCAGCAAATGTAAATAGTTGTTAGAGAAGTAAAATAATGTTAATGAATGGAGATATGCAGCTGTTACTCTTGGGTTTTGAAAAGAGTTTTAGATGTTTGTATTGGTTTTGACATGTATTTTCAAATAAACAGTTTATTTATGTAACCATAAAAATAATTGGAAGTACTACTAAAAGAAGCAATTGAATTTCATAACCATTTTTTAAAATAATATAAAATTACAATGACTAGAAGTGAATAATTCTAATTTCAGTAAGGGTTCAAATGTCTCGAGTTTTAAGATAAAATATCTCAACCTTCTAATATTTAAAAAGCTAGTTTATTTGTAAAACTTCAGCTATGCAAGCCTGTTTGTTTTTTATAATTTCTTTTAAATCTTTAATATATTTTAACTTGGAAAAATGAAAAACACTGCAAGATACTATTTAGTGCTGTATTTTTATCCTTGTAATGTCAATTTCTTTGAATCAGAAATTTTTTATTTTATTTATTTTACTTGTTTCTAGGAATTCTTTTATGATCTGGTTTTTAAATAGTGTTTTCCTAAAGTTAAAATATCACTGATAACCCTAAAATGCACAAATTTGAATCTGAAGAAAAAATTCAGTTAATATGTGTGCTGTATTTGATTATAAAGTTAAACTGCAGGTTATTTTAACTAAAGATCATGGCAATACATGAGAGAGTAAAAAAGTAGGAGAAAGTGTGTGAGATAATATTATAACAGGTGGGTAATGCTAACTTAACTATCCACATAGAACTACTGATATATTCACTTAAAAGTAAACAAAAGAAAGTGTGTTGTGTATCAGGTAGGGGTTTGTTTGTGTTATTTGTTGCAAAGTAATAATACTATGATAAAGTTTGACCAGGGCAAATTCTTCTATAAATAGCTCAATCTAAGCAGATGAGTAATGGTGGCCTACCCATCCTGTTACCTGAAGTTCAACAACTCCAGAACCCTACTGCTAGTCTTTTTTCTGCCCATGCTTCTAACCCTGCCTGCAACACACTCTACACATCTGCCAATAATAACTTACCATTCAATCAGCAGACAAACAACCTAGCCTTTTCTGGAAGCAGTGGGTTTGCTTCAGGCCTTGGAATGGGCCATAGTCAGACTCAAGCTAGTATGGTGTATGGAAGTAGTCCTCTCGGTCCTATTGGATCTTCTGGTATAGGAGCTATTGGATCAGGTACTCTGCACTAAGATTTTAAAAGACAAATTTCACTCTTATTGTTATTTCTTTGTGTAAAAGAAAAGGTGTAATGTTTACTTTTTCACAGATAGGTAAAACTAAATTTATCATTTGTGATCTTATTAAAATGGTAAACTTTTGTTTGTGCATAATTTAAAATTAATGAACACTGATATTTTGGAGCTAAGGATTATTTTAAGTGTTACACATTTTCTATAGTGATGTTTGTGTTCATTGTTACAACATTTTTATTTGCAGTAATATTGTGGTAAATTTTTTTCCAGTTTTACTTCTTTTAATAGTGAAACTCCTGTTTGTAATTTCATTTAACTGTGCTGATTGTTTCACTGGCTTTTATGAATAATATTAATTTATTTAAATTTGAACTTTAACTAACTGTTCTTTGTGATTTTAATATCTAAATTTTCAACTTAAGAATTTTATACTTGAACATGACACTGGGGACTTAACTTCTCAGGAGAGTTGTAACAAATTTTAACTCCACATACAGGATTGGGTAATACCACAAGCTCTCCTCACAGAGATTTGTTTGATAGAAGAGACAGTACTGGCCTGGGAAGTGGCTTTTCTACTAACCTAGAAAACCAATATTCTCGGCAGATAGCAGCACCAAAAAGTGGTCAGTTTTTTGGTCAACTGGGGACAGTAACAGGTTCTTCTGGTCCAATTGGAATGCTTCCTTTGGGTCAGAGCCTAACTCCCCCTCCTTCAATAAATGGGTCATCTACCAATCTAAACTTGGGTAGGTAGTACTTATAATCTCATACTTCTACCAGTGTTGAACTTTTACTAAAAGTAATTTTCTTAATGGTACCATTATGTGTAAATTTTAAATTCTATAGTTTATTTTTTGGAAGCAAGGTTAATATTTATTTTTACCAGTTAGTTTTCTTTGTGACAAGAGTAATGTAACTATTTCAGGTGCTCTGAGTAGTCGCATGCTATCTGCAGCTCCTGGTGCTGAAGCTAAATACATGGTCAGAAATGGGCCACTGAGCAACAACGTGTTTGGTTCTTCAAACTCTCTGTTCCCTAGTCGACATCTTCAGAGAAAGTAAGTTATTTGATGACTGAGTCATTTTTAAATTTCTAGAGCTAAAACTTTGAAGTAGAAATGGAACAAAAATCTACATTTGTACTACCAGAACTGTTTGCTTAGATAAAGTTTTCTGTTTGCATTTTTTAATGCTTCGCTATTAAATATTTTTATAGACTTTATTTTTTATTTTTATATTTATATATACATACTAGCTCTTATTTGATACTTTTCTCACTATGGCTGTGACAAAAATGTTATATGTTGGGTTAATAATCAACATTTAGTTCTTGGGTGTTAAAATCCTCTGTAAGATGATATAGCAAGAGTTATACACTCAGTTTTTGCTATAGATGTTTGATAAAGTAGGGTGTAGAACCTGTTTTTGTCACTTCTGTTACTTACGTACTTATGATTACAGTTCAAGCTTAGAAAAGCCAACTGGAAGAAGTCATCTTCTGGAAGATTTTAGAAACAATCGCTACCCAAACTTGCAGCTCCGAGACCTTGCTAATCACATTGTAGAGTTTTCACAGGATCAACATGGATCTAGGTAAGCCATTGTTCTTCAGAAAAGTAGTTTTACATTTTTAAGATTCCCAGTTTTGGAAAGCTGTATTTAAATAAACAATGAAAAAAATTTTTTTATTCAAATTAATAATTAAAGCTATGCAGGCAGAACTGAGAAGATGTTTGTTTATTAAAGGTTTATCCAGCAAAAATTGGAACGAGCAATCCCAGCAGAGAAACAGATGGTTTTTAATGAGATCTTGGGAGATGCTTATGGTCTGATGACTGATGTCTTTGGAAACTATGTCATCCAAAAGTTCTTTGAATTTGGAACACTTGAACAAAAACAAGCTTTGACACAAAAGGTTAAAGGCCATGTCCTGCCCTTAGCATTACAGATGTATGGTTGTCGAGTCATACAGAAAGCATTGGAGTCCATACCTTCAGATCAACAGGTAAAAATTTTGGTTTTTATAGTTTATTACGATCTTCAGTATACAATAAAATTTTCGTTTCATGCTATATTTCTCATTGTAATAATATAACTAATAGGTTATGCTGTTGTTTTGTTAATACTAACATATGGAAAAAGATCTCACATGAGTATTTTAATACCTTATGCTGAGACAAGACCTCACCTCTTCACACAGAATGGCTTGATGCCTTATAAGATAAAAATCATGTGTGTAACATGAACTGCACTAGTACATGATGACATGCAATGATAGCCCTCCACCAATAAGAGGGCAACACAACTTCCTTGTGCAGTAACTTTTCTTAAGCACTTGAACTTGAAATAACTTTCATTCTTTCCTCAGCATTGTCCAGAATGGATGTTGTTGTTTTTTGAATTATTAATCAGATATGTGAAATTTGGGATTGTTTACAAAACTGAAATTTAATTTAAGTTTTGCTAATTACTTTTATAACTAAAGAAATAATTATTTTTTTTCCTGGTTACCTATTATGTATTCTCAAGTGACAATAACTTCCTCTTTGTACTGTGATAGTATAGATGTTCTTAACATGGGACCTGTGTCTATTTTGAATACTGGGGGGCTTCTTGTCTGTGGTGGATGTGACAGCCATTGTTCAACGTATTGTAGGTTTCTTCATGCACACTGGCCTTTTCCTTTCATCCATTCAGTGGACATTCCCCCTCCCTGATTTGAACATGATCAGGATGAAGATGATTTTTACTAGCTGTCTTCCCTGACAGACTTTGCTCTAATCACAGCTTTATATGTGGAAGAAAATCCTCTTTTCATCTCTTTGACATGATTTTTTCTTTCCCTTTTGATTCCTCCTGTGCTTTAATGCATGAAACCCAGACTCAGGACTACATTGTTTTCCTTCCTTCACCTGACATTAGGGTACATGCAGACTACTTTCTCAAACACCTGTACTAACATGCCTTGTCCTTCTCATCTTCTTGACTTTTTTTGTCCTGACTTACACCCATTCTTAATTTCCATTCCTTGATTCCTAGTCTTTGGAATTTCTTTTACCCGTTTGGGGGATGGACCCCCTACCTTTTAGTTCCCTTTCTAGTGCCCAATTTTCACACCTTTGTCTTTTTCTTATTACCTTCCTTTGTTATCTCTCATCACTTCATCTTATGAATGAGGCGTTTCGTCATGCTCAAGAGGGTTTTTCTGGAGTGGTTTGTTTTCTTATTTTCACCACATTGGCCTGTACATCTTGTTTTGCTCTGTCTCTCACTACTTGGATACTCTGCTGTAGGAACTTGTTGGGATAGAATGCTCTCCTAGCTATTGTACTTATCTTTGTCGGGGCCCAATTCTTCACCCTGAGGTTTTTTGTAGTGTTTCTGACTCACTGGAGACGCAGGTTGAAGTGGCCCAGCATCGGTCATTATTATTCACTATAGTTTCTCATCTTTCTCGAACCTCACTATTCTTTTCCTATTCCGAGGCCTGCTGAATCCTTCCCATTCCAGCTTCCCGTATTCCAATTTCTCAGTGTCAAGATCATCATTTGTCTCATCAGTGACTACCCATTGGGGGCCCACCTGTCTCTCTTCACTAGCCTTTCGTCCAAACTTTTTGCAACGGATGAGTTCTTCAGGTTCTCACCCACAACCTATCACTCCATTTCTCTTCTCCTCCTCTTTTCTGTTTTCCTTTCTCTGTTCCCCTTTATCTTCAGTGTCTCAAACATGTCTCTGTTTTTTTGGCCAAGAATGTCATCAAGAGGGTATTTACCCACACACCTGGTAATAACACTCATCTTTTTGTGGTTCCCAAGAAGACTGGCCTCAAATTATTGACCTGACATCTCTTAAATGGTTTCTTATCATCCATTA